TAGTAGAGTGATAGTTTTCTTTTGATGTTCAGTGTAGTTTCATAATCCTTCCTGTTCTTATTAGCCTCTTGGATGGCATGCCTTTTCTGTCACAGTTAAGATTCTGTTTACAAGTCATGGTTAAAATTACATGCCATTGCCTATAAGCCTCTGACATATGACAGTTGATCTGAATGAAAGTGTAGTCAAATGCTCCCAGCATAACATGTAAGTGTTTCCATTTTTCTGGTTATCCAGTTGAATGAATGGTGAGAGGAATTGTTCACTTTAAACATTCAATTTGTAACTCATGCACTTTTTCAACAGGGGACAGAGCTGGCGGATTTTCAAATAATGAATAGAATGTCTTGTGTCACAGTGAGGAGTCAGAGTGATCTTTCTGCTTTTGCTTTTCACAACTCAGCTTTTATTTCATTTCTGTATTTTAACCTAATTAAAGTAACATTCCAATTTCTTATTAAAGGTCAGAATCTAGAAAACCAAAAAATACCCAACTAAAGTTCTCACTTCCTTTTTTTTTTAAGCAGAGCAGCCTTTTTGGATAAGAATAATTAAAGATACATACAGAACTTTTTACAGTATGTAACCTTTTCTAGCACCAATGGTCTGTGGTTTAAATGGACTATCTGTGCGTGGAAAAAAAATGATGATGATGACATGATCATTTTTAAAAGTACACATGCTCCATTAGTTTCACAGACCTAATCAAAGATCACAGATCATTAGTACTTCTCTTGGATTGGCTAATGTTAATTTAGCCCAGTTTTGTGTTTCATATACTAATAAGTAAGTGCAAGCTATTTTTAACACAGTAACTGTCTACGTAGGGGTGCCACAATAGCACTGAGGTTAGAATTGCTGCCTTGCAGAGCTGATATTCTGTTTTCAATTCTGGATCTGCTGTGTTATCTGTGAGGAGTTTGTAATGTGTGTTCTTTCTGGATGTTTTCCTCCCACATTACTAAGAAATACTGGTAGGTTAATTGGCTTCCAGAAAGTAAATGGTCCTGGTGTGAGTGTGTAGAAATCTGTGATGGGTGTCCTGTGCAGGCTGTACCCCCACCTTCCACTCATTGCTTGCCAGGGTGAGCTTCAACCCTGAATTGGATGAGCTGTTTAGAAAATTGAT